GGGCTTTGGATAATCTTCATATGTCCTATCAAGTATTCTTTACCAGCAATGGAAGGCCAGGGAAAATCTCTTTCTCTGCTTACCATTGGTGTATTATCTGGGTGAATATCTGTGAGTGGGAACCTCTCTTTACTTATCTGAAAAACATGTTTGTGTAAATGGGGATTTACCTTTTGACTACATGTGCAAACACAACCTCTGAAAAAGAGTAAATGAATAGAAAGTTTAGCTGCAGGCCAAGAATCACTGAAAATTTCTTCTATGGTGGCTGCTTTAGCTGCCAGCTAGTTGTGAAGATGCAAGGATATTATATGCAAGGTCCTCTGAAGAAGAAGTGTGTGTGATAAGAAGGAATTATGGCAATGGGTTTCATCTGCACATGGAGATTCATCACTTAGAATGCCCCAGCTGGATCTTTTGCAAAACTTAAGAGACAAGATTTCACAATAATGAAAGAGGTCAGCAATGAAGTCTGGATGCAATGTCCATTTGAAGAAAATATCTCAGGTGTGGTTGAAATTATTAAATTATATTGGCTCATTCAGATAGATGACTAAAAGTCAGCTCAATCCCTCATGCCCTGGTCATCTCTCATTTTGGACTACAAGTGGTCCTTGATTTACAACCATTCGTTTAGTGACAGTTCAAAGTTATAATGGCACTAAAAAAAAGTGACTTGTGGACATTTTTCACATTTACGACCGTTGCAAGCATCCCCATGGTCACATGATCAGAATTTGGATACTTGACAACTGCCATGTGTTTATGAAGCTGCAGTGTCCTGGGGCCATGTGATCACCTTTTGCAAACTTCTGATAAGCAAAGTCAGTGGGGAAATAAGATTTGCTTAACCGTGTTACTTAACAACTGCAGTGGTTCTCTTAACAACTATGGCAAGAAAGGTCGTAAAATAGAGTTACTGTCTGGCTTGACAATAGAAATTTTGGGCTCAATGTGGTCGTGAGTCAAGGCCTACCTATATTGCAATGCACTCTACATGGGGCTAGCCTAGACGAATACTCAGAAACTGCAATTCGTACAGAAAGCAGTACAGACAAGTCTCGATATCTCTAAGGTGGCATATCTTAACACCTCTGTTATGTGAGCTGCACTGGTTGCCAATTTGCTTTCAGGTCCAGTTCAAGGTGTTGGTTATCAAGCCCTTCCTGACACGGGACCAGGTTATTTGTTTTGCTTCAACGGGAATGTTTGTCCCACTCACTGTAGCAGAAGGGTCTTGCTACAGATCCCATTAGTCAAGGAGTTCTACCTGGCAGGCTCCAGGAGAAGAGCCATTTCTGCCATGACCCCTGCCCTTTGGAACATCTTTCCACCAGAAGTGAGATCTGATTTCTCTTCCAAAAGGCCCTGAAGACATGGGAATGCTTTATGCTGAAGGTGGTTGATGGCGTAATAGAGGAGATCCCACCTCCCTATTGCTTGTGCACTTGGTTCTTAGTTTTATCTAATTCTTAATTGTAATGTTTTTGTATTTGCTTTTATTGTATTGTAAGCTGCTCAGAACTGCTTTGAATAGTTAGAAGGGTGGCATATAAATATAATAAATAAATAAAAATTAACTAAGTAAATGAAAGAAAGTTTCATGAACCAGAATTCCCATGCAAAGCTGTAGAGTTAGATGAGTACATCAAACTAAGAATATCACCCCACGATGTTTATTGACACTTCGACCATTGCAGGATAGTTGATTGCAGTGTAGTATTATGAGGCACAAAAAATCTGCACAACTCCCAGTAATAACTGTAGTCATGATAAATATAACCGCCTTGAATAGTATACCTCTTAACCAAGGTTCAAAGTACCTGGCATCAGAGTAATAGAAAAGGCAGGGGGGGAAAAGGAGCTTGAAAGGAAATCTGGAAGGTTTCTTCATGAAAAGGATTGAAGGACTGAGTTAAGGAGGTAAAGATAAAAACACTCCATGTGCAGATGAAGATAGTAATAGCACTTAGACTTACATACCACTTCACAATGTTTTTACAGCCCTCTCAAAGCAGTTTACAGAATCAGCCTATTGACCCCAACAATCTGGGTTCTCATTTTACCGACCTTGGAAGAATGGAAGGCTGAGTCAACCTTGAGTCTAGTGAGATTTGAACTGCCAACTTGCAGGCAGCTGGCAGTCAGCAGAATCAGCCTGTAGTAGTGTACTCTAACCACTGCTCCATGGAAACTGAGTTCTAGTGATTCTTAGGCATGAAAACTGACTGGGCCATTTACTCTCAGCCCATCTCACTTTACAAGGTAGTTGTTATAGGGAAAATGGGAGGTAGAAGTATTAGGTATATTCGCTGCCTTGAGTTATTTATAAAAAATATATATAAAGGTGGTATGTTAAGGTATTTAAATTTAATAGCTGGAGCAGTGGGATTGTGCACTGAGCCAGAACACTCAGTTATAGTTGATTGATTGCATGGGGCAATGTGTGCTGTGATTGCTGAGGGTTTGAAGGGGGAGTTTCCCAGTTTTCCCGCCTTTTTCTTCTGGGTGTCGTGGGTGCTCTGTGATTCACCTCGTGATGTTCCTGTTTGTCTGACTATCTTCTCTGCTTTAAATATAGATGCAAAATATATTTATTTATATAAAACTACAAGTTTGTGTCAGCATCTCTTAACTTCATTTGGACCCATCCTGCTGCACAATTCCCTGGCATGATATATAAATATAAAAACAGCAGCAACTAGGAACTTGTCTTTATGAACCAAAATTGTTCTTAAACAACATATACAGGACACTGATGTTTAAATCTATCTAAGTCTGGTTCCCATCCTCAAAACCTGTGTGATTTTTCCTAAAAGTGGTTAAGGTGCTAGACTAGAAACCAGGAAACACTGAATTCCAGTGCTGCCTTAGATAAAAGCCAGCTGAGTGACTTTGGGCCACTCCCTCTCTCCCAGCCCAACCTACTTTCCAGGTTGTTATTGTGAGAAAACTAGACTAAAGAAGGGATATTGTATGTGTTTGCTGCCTTGAGTTATTTATATAAATAATAAAGATGAGAAATAAATGGGTAACTTCTAACTTCTTACTTATCCTCATCACAATTCAGAATTTTTTATTAGCTTTTACTTAGTCAGAATTGATGCATTGCATTATTTTTTGCTTTTTTGCTCGGGTGTTAAAAATTCCCCTTCAAGGCAGCACGTATGCCCCTATGAGGATGACTCAGTCCATAAATCAAATGTTTTATTTCTGCTTTATCAACAACAGTGTTTTTTCAAACTTGGCAAATTTAAGATGTGTGAAACTTCAGCTCCCAGAATTCCCCAGCCTCTTATCCTGCTGCTCAGAAAATCTCTCCTTAGTTCTAAACTGATTACATCTGAAAGTGTTTAAGAAAGTGAGCCTTTTGTAAATATTGTGTCCATATAGGCAGGGGTGGGATTCCACCAATATAACAGCTGGTTTGTTGATCCTGCACTCTGCACGCGCTCTGCATTTAAAAAAGCTCTAATACTTACCTTCTACTGCAGTCCCTGTGAATAAAACAGCTGAGTCGCGGCCATGCAAATCAGCTGTGCTGTAAAAAAAGAAATAAAGCAGACTAGGGGCGGGTTCACTGCCAGCTGATCTTTGGAGCAAGAGGTACGGCCGAACCGGTATAATCCCACCCCTGCATATAGACTGCATTATGGTTGTGAACTTGGTGGGGAATTATGGGAATTGAAATCTTTAAAATGTTTCCAAGTTGGAAAAACACTGATCTACATGTGGCCTTTTCTACTCTATCCTGAAAAAAAAAATTAACTGGTAGAGAAGAGCATAGCTTTTATTTGCTGCTGCTTTTATCCAAGGAGAATGTATATGTATCCTTGAGTTGCTCAGTTTTTCCTTATAATTGAAGAACTATTTTTTATGTCTGTTTCTATTTATAGATGTGTATATATGTTCATGTACATAATAAACACTGATTTGGTTTAAACCCCACTACAACAGCAAACTGTTAACAGTGAAGAGATCTCCACCCTTGCTAGTTCAAGGAAACACTGTCTCAAGTCTAGCGTACACTGAGATATATTACTTGCAAATGAAAATCCTTGTTATCTCAATAAATCTGCTTATGTTTACTGTCAAATAAAGTTTTAATAATTTACAATCAATTGATTAAAGAGTACAGAGAACAGTCCCCTACGTTGATCTTTCCAGATAAAACAGAAAGAAGTTAACATTATAAGAAAAGTCTCAGTTTATCATTTGGGGATGGTGGCAGCAATATTTTAAAGAATATTCATTAATGTAGATTAAGATTATCCACTCCTGACCAAATAAACTAGACTTCACTATTTCCTGCAAGAAAAGAATCTCGGCTATAGAAAGTTCCCAATGATGGTTTGGCAAAGAAAGAACTTCCACCAAAGATGTAAGAGCAGAGACTGAAATGAATGCTGATTTAACACAGTGCTAAATGTACACTATGTAGTTCAGAGCAGGTAGAAGAAATTACTGGGAAAAACTTACTTGAAAGTGGCTAAATGAATGTATTGATAACTATTCTGTCTCATGCAAAAAAGGCAGACCGGCTACACTATACAGTAGTATAAAGTATGATAATATAATACATTTTCCTTCTTTGGTGGCTAACTCAGTATTCTCTTTGCTGCATTTCCCAGTATATGTGCAAAAACATTTCAGACTATCAGTTTTCAAACCGTTACAGTAAAGTGGAAAATTGGAATCCTATATTTGATGTTTTTTACATAACAAGTGTGCTTTGTTCTGGTATGCAGATTATTGAGGGACTTTCATAGTGGAAAATTTCCTCCTAAATGTTTTTGTTAGAAATTTATATTATTCCAAACTCAATGTTTCTTTTCTCTCTGTTGAATTTTCTGCTTGCTGGCATGTAACATATTAATTTAAGCTATTTAGTTTTCACAGTTGAGTTTGCCAACTCAAATTCTTGTGTCAATAATAAATACATTGCAAAGTGTATAACTTCTTACTGTTGCAATAGTTTTAGCATGCTATTTTCTTTTTAGATCATAGCTGAACTTAAGACAACCATTTCCTCTCTGACAGAGGAAAGCAACCAGCGGCAACTTGCTGGAGAAAGGCGTCTGCAAGATGTTTTACAAAAGTTTGAAGATGAGAAGCAGCAGCTGATTAGAGATAATGACACAGCAATCAAGGTAATCTGGGGCTTTGAGTCAATTATGCTGCCAGCTGTTTGAGTGTAATTAAAGTTTTGAAAATATTGACTGTGGCCTTAAAAATGCATGTTGAAGTCACGCTTTTATAGAAGTCAGCATTTCTTTTTCTCTAAAAATTTCATATAAAATATGCTTGTTTTTTTGTCTTGTGTTTTATATGCATTATGAATGCTAAAAATACCACTGAATGGAAGTTTCTAATTACATGGTTAATTGAAAAAGATCTACCACATGCCTTCTTTGTGTGATTTAACAAAATTCATTCACATTTTTCTTAAAACACATGCTTGAATATATGGTTCATTTCCAGTTTGAAATATTCAGCATGTTAAAAGTTACATTTTTTGTGCTAGATATGAATAGAAAGAGCTAAAATAAATGGGGGATTTCAGCCTTGTATCAGAGTTGGACTCTGACTGGGTCTTGAAGTATCTGGGACAAGGTTTGGCTGTGTTAATGTAGGAATTTGATCTAGTAATCTTTGAAAAAAATGAATAGATTCTAAGAGCTCTTTTACTGTGTCCACTTGTGCTAGTTAGCTCCATGTCCCTGGCATGTAGTTCGATCCAAGTGATGGTGACTTCATCCTTGATTGAGGATCTTTAATCAATTTGTATTTTGTACTTAGTTTGAAATTGATAATTATATCCATCCGTGACTGGTCTATGTGTCAGGAATTTTCTGTGCCACCATATTACTCTAACTGAAGTGGGGCCTATTCGACTGACAACTAGCACCAAGCAACTGGTGGACCCAATTGGATTTCAGAAGCAACTTGGATTTTACCCCAAAGTTTTGGTGCATGGATTGGTGGAGATGTTGGTAATTGCTTGTAATGAACAAGTGATAGGCACCTGGATTGGGTCACCCTATTATAGACTCTTTTTTTAAAATGGATCATATAGAGCAGGGCTATCAAACTCATACCCAGCAAGTTGGATGTGTCACATGCTGGCCACACCCATGCCAGGTTTAGCAAAGGTGGGAAAAGTCACGATACGTCACGTGATGTCGCTGTGACGACGTGAGTTTGACATCCCTGATATAGAGCTTCTTGATTTACTAAGGAACTATACGAGATAAAGTGACACAGAGATGCATAGAAAATTGCTAGTGAAAAATGAAAAGTAAAGCCAACAAAGCACAGATAAGAGCCTTTATTAGGATGCTCTTTTTGGCAATAAGAGTAGCAAAGCAAATTTACTTCTCTGCTCTTATGTACCTATCACATCTGCAGATAGCCAACCAGCAGTCTTGTTTCGGATTGCCATGTTCTTCCTTGGGAAGGAAGAACCATGAAAGTTCTTGCAGCACAACTGTGAAGTATATACTGTACTCAGCATTTGTCAGACGAAGTCAGTTTACTTCACTTGTTGATGGTGCTGACTGAACAGATCCTTTAGGAAGTGACCTCTAGGAGGAGTTTGAACCAATCAGTGAGCCTGGCCAGTTACATTCTGGACCTATTTGGTCAATGACTCCTGAGCGTCCAAACAGTGGTTAATGCCTCTTTGCAGGAGTGAATGGTTGTTAGGAATATGAGTCACCTAACAGGTATTTGGGTTAGAAATATATAAACCAGGATAGACATTTTAATACTGTCTCTTTAAGAGCAATTAGGTGTGTTTTCTCAAACGGCCATAAGATGGAGCCAGAAGCCTGGTTTGTCTTAGTCTTAGTCTCAGAAGAGAGTGTGAGTCAGTCTCTGTTTCCTTCTGTTGGAAAGTATCGCCGTTCCTCCATTTCTTCTAATTGACTGATATTACTGGATTTGATGTAAGTTTGTTACTGAACTGTTTTTGACACTGGAATTTGTTATTGGATTATCCCTGGATTGAAAAACTGACTGATTTACCTGTGAACGACTATGGACTGCTTGTTTTGGACTTAACGTTTCTAGAAGTAAAAATCTACATTTACTGTACAGTGTATCTGTGTGCTCTGTGTATATTATTCCAACACTACTCTCTATACGTCTCCCTGTATGCGCTCATTTTCCTAACAGGGAATTACCTCAACACTGGTTATGGGCCCAGGCCATACCAGGCTCAGATAACTGAGAGTTAGTGTGAATACACAGTACTGTATACAATCAGCTGTTTACTGTTTAATTGTGGGTTACTATCCTGTAAAAGATGGCACAAGTCACTTCACTGATAACCTGGTTGGATGGAACAAACTATGTTTCCTGGTCTATGAAGTGCAGTCTACTTCTGCGTAGAGAAGGTTTATGGAATGTAGAGTGACCAGCAGCTAGTCCATATTCGTGGAGAAGAGTCTGCTGCTAGGTGTTGGGAGAATTTGAAAAGATTCATGTTCGTGACAGTGTAGGTGCACACATACATCTTACACGTAAACTGTTTAGAGCATGTCTTCTGAAAGGTGGAGATATCTTAGCTCATTTAAACTTCATGAAAAGAACTTTTCAAGAGCTACATGAAAAAGAACTGATATTTTCAGAGCTGCATCAAGTTTACATCATTCTTTTTTCATTGGATGAAAGTTATGATGACTATGTATCTTCACTGGAAATCCTGCCCAGAGATAAACTGACATTAACTGACATAACTGGAAGATTGTTAGAAGAAGCAAGAAGACGGCTGGATAGGGACCAACTGAGGAAGGAACAATCACAAGAAGAGGATTTGTCTTCAACTGCCTATACTGTTAGGAAATGTTTTCCTTGTGGGGCTAGGGGACATATAGCTAAATTCTGTAAAAAAGGAAAACAACACAATACTGGTAATCACCAGAAGGCTAAGAAAAATGTTAGTTTAGCTATGTCTAGCAATTCAACTGTAAACCATGATTTGTGGGTTGTTGATAGTGGAGCATCACAATGCATTACTTAAGATAGAAAAAGGTTTGTAAAGATGTCCACGAGTAAACAACATGTATCATTGGCAAATGGATGGAAGATTAAAGTGTCAGGTGAAGGTACTGCATATTGTTCTTGTATAAACGAACATTTAACTATATTATATGTACCTAAACTGAAATTTAATTTATTATCAGTAAGGGCTTTAGTTAATCTTGGTTATGTAATAACCTTTAGGGGAGATAACTGTATAATAGAGAAAGAGGTTAAAAGTGTTACTGCTACATTAGAGAATGATTCATATGTGATACATGATGACCAGTTG